GGCTATGGACTGTGAGATGGAGTCCATTGAGAAAAATGAGACCTGGCAGCTTACACCACTACCAACCGGAGCAAAGAAAATTGGTGTAAAGTGGGTTTTCAAGACCAAATTGAACGAGAATGGTGAGGTAGACAAGTACAAGGCCCGATTGGTAGCTAAAGGTTATGCTCAACAGCATGGGATCGATTACAATGAGGTCTTTGCTCCAGTAGCAAGATGGGATACAATTCGGACGGTTCTAGCACTAGCAGCACAAAAAGGTTGGAGTGTGTACCAACTTGATGTTAAAAGTGCGTTTCTTCACGGTGATCTGGATGAGGATGTGTATGTGGAGCAGCCGTTGGGATATGTTCGTAAGGGTGAAGAGCAGAAGGTTTACAAGCTTCGGAAGGCACTTTATGGCTTGAAGCAAGCACCGCGCGCTTGGTACAGTAAAATTGAGGCTTATTTTCTCAAAGAAGGCTTTACACGGTGCAATTATGAGCATACTCTCTTTGTCAAGTCCGAAGAAGGAGGTAAGAGACTATTAATTATAAGTCTGTATGTTGATGACTTGATCTTTACTGGTAATGATGCTTGCATGTTTGAGAAGTTTAAGAGCTCCATGAAAGATGAGTTTGAGATGACAGATTTAGGGAAGATGAAATACTTCCTTGGTGTTGAGATTATGCAGAAACCAGAAGGCATCTATTTGAGTCAGAAGAGATATGCAGGTGAGTTGTTGGAGAGGTTTCACTTACAGAATGGAAATTCAGTCAAGAATCCGATTGTACCAGGTTCTAGATTCTCAAAGGAAGGAGGAGGAGCTAAGGTGGATGCAACCTTGTACAAACAATTAATCGGGAGTCTCATGTATATTACTGCTACAAGGCCAGATTTGATGTATGTGGCATGTTTGTTAAGTAGATATATGGCTAGTCCCACAGAGATGCATATGCAAGCAGCAAAGAGGGTGCTACGTTATTTGAAGGGTACTGTGTCTTTAGGTTTGTTTTACAAGAGAGGTGATGTAACAGAGCTAGCTGCCTATACAGATAGTGATTATGCCGGGGACATCGATGATAGAAGGAGTACGAGTGGTTATGTGTTTCTGTTGAATGGTGGGGCAGTTTCTTGGGCTTCGAAGAAGCAGCCGGTGGTGACGCTGTCAACTACTGAGGCTGAATTTGTTGCAGCAGCAGCTTGTGCCTGTCAATGTGTCTGGATGCGAAGAATTCTGGAGCAGCTTGGTTGTTTACAGTTACAGCCTACAACTATTCTATGTGATAATTCTTCAACAATTAAACTATCCAAGAATCCAGTTCTACATGGCAGGAGTAAGCATATTGATGTTAGATTCCATTTCTTAAGGGATCTTACAAAGGAGGAAGTTGTAAGGTTTATTCATTGTGGCACAAAGGAGCAAGTAGCTGATATAATGACCAAGCCTCTGAAGCTTGATGTGTTTATAAAGCTGCGAGAAGAGCTTGGAGTGTGTGAGGTACCACTGATCTTAAACTGAAACTGAATGTTACTGTGTTCAGTTTAGGGGAGGCATTGTTAGGTCTGACAATGTCAAAGTTGTTAGAGTTGTTGTTTACTTCAGCTAATAAAGCTCCTGTTTACTAGGAGTCACTAGTTAGAATCTGTTTTGAATTAGTCTGTAACAAACATCACGATTTGTACGTGATTGTTTCTGTTGTTTCCAGTATCTCACCATGTAAAGGCTATATAAAACCTGAAGTTGTTTAATAAAGACATATAAAGTATTTCCAGAACTTTGTATGTGATCAAGAGTCTTTCAGGGGGGCCCCAATTTCTCTTTCTCTCTCTCTCTCTCACACACACTAAGTTGCAGTGACCGATATATATAGAGGGAGAATTGAGGAGTGATTTATATACAAGCAGATTGATATGTCGGAGTAAGAGAAGTTGTTGAAGGGAGTATCGGTTGATGCACAAAAACTGGAAGGTACGGAACGGCGCCAATATCGACCATGCCGCCGTTTGCGATTCCATCACCGATCCTAAGGACACTCACCTCCGTGATTTCGAAATGTTTTGATTAGGGATTTTCATTTCAATTTCTAGCCACTCGGGTCTGATATAGTTGTTTTTTTTATCACTATTTAGGTGATGTATGTATACTGCAGTNAGGACACTCACCTCCGTGATTTCGAAATGTTTTGATTAGGGATTTTCATTTCAATTTCTAGCCACTCGGGTCTGATATAGTTGTTTTTTTTTATCACTATTTCGGTGATGTATGTATACTGCAGTATAATGTATGGTTGGAGAGTATATAGACAGTCCTCAGTTTTTAATTTTTTGAATTTTGAAATTTAGGTTCCAATTAGGGCACTTTTTAAAGAAGACTGTTGCGGATTCGAATGCTCCAGTGCAAGAGAAAGCTTTAGATGCTTTAATTGCGTACTTAAAAGCTGTCGATGCTGATGCTGGAAGGTAACTAAATTTTTGAAAATTTGCATAGTTTTTATGGTTATTTGTTATTCATGTTGTTGTACTGTTCATTTGTGATTCAATTTCGAATTTGGGGTTCATTTTTTGGGCAGGTATGCGAAAGAAGTATGTGATGCGACTGTGGCAAAATGCCTGACGGGTCGGCCCAAGGCAGTGGAGAAGGCGCAGGCAGTGTTTATGCTCTGGGTAGAGTTGGAGGCTGTTGAGGTATTCCTGGTATGTGTTAATTTTCATAATTTAGTGTGTTTTTCAACACTGCAATTTTTGGATCAAAAAAAAAAAACACTGCAATTCAGTATGAGAACAATTTGATTGTGTATTCCGTGAATGTAGTTTGTTTTACTTTCTGGTAACTGAATTGTGCTAAAACATGTTGGGGAACTTAAGGGGTTGTTTGGTAACGTTTTCGTTTTCGTTTTCGACAATTTTTGTCTCTGTTTTGTAATAAACACCGAAACAAAAAACATGTTTGGGAATCATTTTTGTCTATCAAATTATGAGAATAAAAACAAAAAATATGTTTGGTAACTACTTCACATTTTATCCTAAATATACTTTATAATATCTCATACAACAAACCTTCACCCTACTCGAAACTCCCCCAACAAATCAATCATCCACTACTAAAAACCCACCCCCCGCAACTCCTCCACCCCCAACAAAATACAAATCAAACATCCACTACTACAAAAAAATTGTAAACAAATCAATTATCAGTTGTAAGCCTTGTTGGATTGTCCATAGTTCCGCTTTATGGCTCCTTTCATATTGTCTATTCTCCATCTCCACCCACTAACAATCATCTCCATCTCTAACCATCTAACTCCACCATTTACACCTCCATGAGCCCCCTAATCCCTGATTTGTTAAAACCCTACAACATAATATCAATATATATGCAATAATTAAGATGAGATACTGCTCTGAATCAATCAAAATCAACTTCAACACCAACCAAATAAAACCAATTTTCTAGTTTATGGCCAAATACCAAACCACTCGATTACACTTACATCATCTGATGAAAAAGAAGCATTTCTACCTAGTTTGGACTGTTTAGCCAATCCATCCACCTTAACTGAATATATCCCATTATTATATAACCATGCCAACCAATATCCCAAAACTCAAGAAACCAGACATATTTCTTCAAACCCATTAACATCATCACACAAAGCAAATATTATTCAACATCATCAAGCTTTCGTTTCAGATCCCTGACTAAAAGAGATAACTTAAAGTTTTGTTCTAGATCACTATCGAAATCAANCAAAACTCAAGAAACCAGACATATTTCTTCAAACCCATTAACATCATCACACAAAACAAATATTATTCAACATCATCAAGCTTTCGTTTCAAANTCCCTGACTAAAAGAGATAACTAAAAGTGTTGTTCTAGATCACTATCGAAATCAATGGCCTCCAAAAAACGTCAAAACAAACAAAATGAGGAGTGTATAAATGGATCTTAAACCTTCACCCTACTTGCAACTCCTCCACCCCAACAAAATACAAATCAAACATCCACTACTACAAACCCACCCCCTACAACTCCTCCACCCCACCCAAAACTCCCCCAATAAAATCAATACAAATTTATTTTGGTTGTTGTTCAAGAAATTTAACAATCAAATAATCACAGATGGTTTGAGAAATCAAAATCGCAAAAGGTAGCAAATTAACACAAATGATTTATTTTGTTGTTGATTCTAGGAATGCATTTGGGTTTAATTTGGAGGGTTTGATTCTGGGTTTTCACAGATCACTCACACACACACACACACACAGATTTTATGGGTTTTCACAGATCACTCACACACAAATTTTTTGGGTTTTAACAGAGAACGAGAGCAAGACAAAGAGAGATAGATCGTCTGAGGTTTCTATCTGAGTTATCGATCTGAGTTCTTTGTGGTTTGTTGTTTGAGTTCTTCATCTGAGTTCGACAGAGAGAGATCATCTAAGTTCTTCGTCGTTTGTGAGAGCGAGACAAAGAGAGAACAACGGATCGATCTTCGTCTAAGGTATCAATCTTCGTCATTTGTGAGTTCTTCGTCGTCTAAGGTATCGATATTCGTCTGAGAGAGAGAGAGAAAGAGAGAGAGAGAGAGAAGATAATAGAGTGAAGAAAAAAGAAAAAAGAAATCCTTCAAAGGGTATTTATAGTAAACACAAAAAAAACCCTCTTTTGGTTGCTAATGGGATTTGAATGGAGGATCTCATTAAATAGGCTGTGGAGCGCACGCGTGTTTCCAGAAAACATGTTTCCTAGAACATCTTTTTTTTTGTTCCCATTTTTTGTCTTTGTCTCCAATACAACTAATACAAAATAAAAACAAAAACAGTTACCAAACATATTTTTGTTTTCATTTTTGACAAAAATTGAAAACAAAAACACAAAACACAGGACAAAAACAGTTACCAAACATGCCCTTACACTTGCTTCTCCAGTTTTAATTTAGGTGTTTGGATGACATGACTGAGGAAGTTTGGTGCTCAGAATTTTCCTTGCTTTCTATAGTACCATGATAGTGATCATGTATGTGGTATTTTGGGCTTGCCATGGTAGTACATAATGTGATACTGCAAGTTCTCCTGTACTGACTACTGAAGGAGCTATCATGACCATTGTCCCTTTGGAATTGACTAGTATAAATAACAATACCATTAAAACAGTATTTGTTGGGAAAAAGTTTCATGCTTTAGCCAAATGAACAAATGAAATGACATTTGTAATAAAATTAGTGAGAAGATTATCCCTGATATTAGAATTTCATTATTGGTTTCTTATTCCTGTCTGGGCCTAATCAATCACAGAAGAAATGACAATCTCCTTGCTTGTGGGATAGAGATTGGGCTTTTGATTTAATAATGAACTTTACATGGCGTATACTTTTGAATGATATCGTTTGTGCAATATGCATGATGTTGGATGCTTGGGTATATCCTAAAAAGAGTCTTCTTAGTTGAACGTTTAAATACTAAACTAATTGACATTTGACACCTTTTACTTGTTCTCAGTCTAAAACATGTGGCTAGGACTCACTGCAGAGGTGGTTAGAATTGTAGTTGTCCACATACCAGTTGTTCATTATTCTATCTGTCTAATCACATATGATGAATCTGTCTTTCCATTGTTGATATTATTCTATTACTTGTTCTGTTGTGCATCACCTGCTCTCTCTCTCTCTCTCTCTCTCTCTCTCTCTCTGCATCTTAGCTGCTTCCAACCAGTTTCATTTAACTACCCATTTTGGGATAATGCTAACATGTTGATAGCTCTGATCAGTTAAGGATGTTTGATTTAACGGCATGTTTAATGATGTAAGTTGCTTCATGTGCATAGTGTTTACACTTATTCTTGCCCATGCTCCTTTTTGTTTTTCATGGAAGCTAAGTTCTGTGAGGAAGTTTGTAGTTTATACATTGATATAGTCTTGTGATCTACAAGATTACATCTTGTGATTTCATGAGTTGCAAGCAGTGTACAGACAATCCATGTTCCAACTTGTTTGCTTTTTGATGCCCAGGTCTGATGTGGCAGAGCAAAGTGGTGATATTTCACGATCTATAGCTGGCCCAATCATTAGGTACAGAATGATTTCTTCTTCTATACTTAATCATCAAATTTTGGTTCATGTAGTCCTCTTTTCATTGTTGAATCAAGTAAATTATACCTGATACAAATGTATGAGATGCCAATAATGTTTTCTTCTAGGGAGAATTATGGTCATTCTGAGCGTCAGATGGATAGACATCCAATGCCCCGGACACTTGCTGGTGCAATTGGCCCCACGGACTGGAATGAAGCTCTGCATGCTATTGTTAATGGTTCTCCTGAGCAGGTTTGCCTTTTGCCTAATGATGTTTGTAAGGGATTATAAAGAATATAATGGAAATTAACATTTATCATTGTCAGGTCTTGTATTTTAGGTTAATATTGTGTAGTGTGTTGTGACTTTACATTAAGAAACATGACTGCAAATTAGAACTATGGAAGACAGGGTATCCTCATGTTGACATCCTAAGCTAATATTTTCTCTCATTGATTCATAACATTTTTTAATATGAGCTCGTTGGCTGTATACCTGCATGAACCATGTTTTACACAAGTAGAACCAGTCCGTTTTGTTGCTGTTACTGATTTTTACATTAGGCATGATTCAGTTCCTTTGTCTGCTTCAAATGCCCTTTTCTTCTACATCTTGAGCTTTCTGTTCTTCTAGCTTATTTCCAAAAAGGAAGTTATATCGAGGACATGGGGAAGGCTGGGATGTTGAGACGGGTGATCTTCCTCCATCTTGCAATGTTGTGCTCTAAAACTTTTGTGTCCATGAATGTTTTGTCCAATAGTTAGCAGGATCACTATCACAACAACATTTGCTTTTAACTATGATGTTTTGATGCTGTCAGTAACTTTAGTCAGATTTGAATTATTTTGTTTTTTGGGACATACATACATCCAGACTGACATTTTTTATTGAAGTTTGGAGTTTTCTTAGAATTCTATGTTAAGAGATACTGTGTTGATGCAGTCTGTTGAAGGAATGAAGGTTGTGTGCCATGATCTAGCACAGGCAACCAGTGGTCCCAAAGGCAGTGCTATGGATGATATTGTCAAAGATGCAGATCATCTTGTTTCTTGCTTGGCAGATAAGGCCAGAACAGATCCAGTTTAACCTTTTTCTTTTGGAATGCTCCTTCAATCAGCTCATCGCTATCATATTTAAAATTATTGTAAACAGTTTTTTTTTTCTTTTTGCAGATTGCCAAGACTTTTGACTTTAGTCTGACTGGTGCCTCTTCATGATCTTGTCAATATGTCCTGAACACACTCGTGCAAGTAATTTACTATCCACTTCTTCTGTTTTTGTCGTTTTTCTCTTGTTGCTAATAATGAAAAGTAAAACCCAATTTTTAATAATTCTTATTTTTCTGTGTTTCTGTTTCAGACATTTCAAAATAAACAGGTAGCCCATGGTGTCAAGGAGAGTACCCTCGAAGTCTTATTACTGAACTCCTGGTTTGGCTTTTTGATGAAAGGGTTCCCAGGATGGATGATGGCAGCCAACTTCGGCAAGCTTTGAATGTTTTGATGCTGAAGATCCTGGTGACATTGATCTCCAAAATGCATCTTTTTTAATTGCTATCTGTGTGTGAATTACATTTTTGTATTGACTACTAATTTTTAATGCAGGATAATGCGAAACGAACCTTGTCGTTTGTTGTCCTGATCAAACTTTTACACCCACTGGACCCGTCAAGGTGACCATCTCCAGCATCAAATGAATCTGTTGCCTTTTGAAATCAGAAGTTCTCAGATTTTGATGTCAAATGCCTAATCAAACTTACTAAGGTGATCTTTCTTACTTGCCATCTACTTTACTTGTTTGCTTTCCAATGAAAATTTGGTGGGTTAAATGGTTAAATGTAGGAATGCTCTGGTAAGTGTGTGTTTCTCTAATCTATCAGGCACAAATATGTACTACTTAAACAGTGGACTTCCACTGCCATTGTTGGGGCTAGAGATGTTTAACTGCAATGGGAACAAAACTGTCTTTTGAATCATATATTGGGTAATCAACACTTGTCTGACCTTCTTTGTCAAGATGCTACTAATAAAATTGCAGAAAATAATTACATTTGTCTAGTTTGATCTATTCCTTTGTCAAAGACTTTATTTGAAAGAATTGTGCAATGCCATAGACTAGGGCGAGTTACAGACTCACAGATATCTCTTCTTCATTTGTAAAAAAACAATGTTGGAGTTATTCATACCAGCACACATGCTTTTTCACTGGTATTGTTTCATTAGAATATTTACACACTTTTGAGCCTGTTCTTGTGAATAGGTAAATACCGAACTCAGCTCCTGGCATGTGATTTATGTGCATCAAAGAGTTGCCTTGGCTTCTATTGTCGGATATTTATCAGACTTAGCTTTTCTCTGATTTAGGTTCTTCAAAGTACTATATATGAGGTTGACCTTGATTGTATCCTTCAAAGCATCCACTTATACCTGCAAGAACTAGGGATGGAAGAAATTAGGAGAAGGTACTATTGATTTTCTCTCTCTCTCTCTCTCTTTTTTTTTTATTGTGCGCTGAATTTTTTTTCCCATGTGTAATGGATTGGTTGATTGTTATTGTGATATGGATTGGTTGGATGATCCACTATTCACTATTTATGATTTACTAATAGAGCGGGAGATGATGACAAACCATTGCGTAGAGTGAAAACTGTTCTACATGAACTTGTTACACTTCGTGGGACTGCAATAAATGGTCATCTTTATATGGTTCCAATGGACATGGAACCNATAGAGTGAAAACTGTTCTACATGAGCTTGTTAAACTTCGTGGGACTGCAATAAATGGTCATCTTTATATGGTTCCAATGGACATGGAACCNGTAGAGTGAAAACTGTTCTACATGAACTTGTTACACTTCGTGGGACTGCAATAAATGGTCATCTTTATATGGTTCCAATGGACATGGAACCCCAACCCATTATTCTTGCCTACATTGATCTTTATCTTCAGGTACCCAGAAAACATACTTAATGCAAGGGTTTAATGGGAGTCTTTTTTACACTTATTGTACTTATCTGTAAAATGTATAAAATTACCAACTTTGACTACTGCAAGAATGTTAACACCATCTAGACCTGTTGGCCAAACACATTGGGGTGATTCAGTAGCCAACAATCCATCACCTGCCACACATTCTACTAATGCCCAGTTGAAGGTATCATTGCGCATTGTGTTGTTTGATCTCACATGTTTGTTTTAGCCATTAACAAATGCTATTCCAGTTCCGTCTTCTCCACAGTGTCCGTTTTTTTCTCCTCCTTCTATTGTTATTTCGTAAATGATTGATTTCTTCCTTGTCTTTTACATTGCTNAGTGTCCGTTTTTTTCTCCTCCTTCTATTGTTATTTCGTAAATGATTGATTTCTTCCTTGTCTTTTACATTGCTTGATTAGGAGGTTTCTTTCTTATGTTTCCCTTTTCTACTTGATTAAATTCCCTGTACTGCATGCATCTTACAGCAAGAACTGGCTGCAATATTTAAGAAAATTGGTGACAAGCAAACATGCATCATTGGTCTTTATGAACTTTATCGGATCACCCAATTATATCCCAAGGTAAAGAGGTATTTCAGCATCATATGAAAGACGTTTGCAATTATTGTTTTTACATTTCAACTTTTTGGGACAGCTATGTAAAATAACAGAGTTGTTTGTTCCTTTTTTATTGTTCAGTCATTCATTACGTTTAGGTTTTGCTATTTATTTCAGGTTGATATATTTTCTCAGTTGCAAAATGCTAGTGTGGCATTTTGAACATACATTAGAGACGGTTTAGCCAAGGTCTGCATTAATATGCTCAACAGTACAATTTTGCATTAATATGAATATTATATGCTTATGAGTTGCTGCCATTCACCTCTATTGCAGATGGAGAAGAATGCAGCTGCTGGAAGGACGTCTTCAAGTTTACCTTTGTCAACCCTCCCTCGGCTGCCCTAAACTTTTCTTCCCCAAAATTTATGCCTTTGTCACCTGTAAATACAAACCCATTGAATAATGCAAACTCTATGAACACTAAAGTTGAACCCACAAATTTTATGTTACCCACATCTTATGCTGAAGATGACAAGGTTGCTAATGCCATCACTTTAAGAGGTCCATTATCTGATCAGTTCGAACTACGACAGCATTTGGGGGAGCAAAGAAATGACAGATTCCAATCTGGAGGTTACTTCTACTCCCACCATTTGCCTTGAGTTTTGGTTTTTGTTTGGTTTTAAATGAAAAATCTGTCTGATTTAATATCATAATTGCAGTTACCAGTGGAACATTAGATGCAATAAGAGAAAGGATGAAGAGTATCCAGTTTGCAGCCGCTGCTGGGAACCCTGAATCTGGAAACAGGTCTTTGATAACCATGAGTAGCAATGCAACCCATGGACTGCCGAGTCAGTTTCCTCTGGCCACATAACGAGATAGTACAGAGACTCCTATGCAGAGTAGGGTTCTTCCTATGGATGGGAAGGCGTTATCAGGGTTGCAAGCAAGGATGCAGAGGCTCAAAAGTGGGTCCATCAAACCTCTTTAGGAAGGAGAGCTGTTGGACATGACTAAGTGCGATTCATTGTACATCCTCGTATACCCGTGCCACATTTGTGTAAATGAAGAGGCGCACCCTGGCTATGATTATGAAGCAGTCGCCGGTATCTATACATACTATGCATTCTCGGAAGCTTGTATCCTCCCTCAATTTTGCAGCAGAGGTGTGATGTGGAGTTGTTCGGCCAGAGTGCAAATGATATTATGTGGTGTATTCACCTGTGTTCAACAATGGCTTCTGCTTAGTGATCTTGGGTTTATATGAGAAGCATGAACAATGTGCCAAGGTCATGGGAGACTGATCATTTCTAGTGCATATTGATTGATTTAGATGCCTTTCCCTATGTTTCTTTCAATCTGTTTCTCACCAAAAGATGAAGTTTGTCAATGGGTTGTATCATGGTTTATAGTCGCGATTCAAATTTTGTTCAACTTATATCTGACTTATTTACGATCGCATATAATCAAATTGGTGTCCTGTTTGAGTTGTATTTAATTGGATTTTTGTTGTGTTTATCAATTCATAGCACCAATTCACTTGGTCTAAACCTTAAAAAAAATGACTAATGCTACTCGTATCTAACAAATCACAATAACACTATTGTATCACATCTCTATCACATGATTAAGTTAACAAATCAGTTTAATCACAGTCTATCACATGATTAAGTTAACAAATTAGTTTAATCACAATAACACTATTGTGTCACGTCTCTATCATATGATTAAATTAACAAATCAATTTAATTTGTAATGTTTCAATCACCTTGGCAATATTNATGTATCATGGTTCATAGTCGCGATTCAAATTTTGTTCAACTTATATCTGACTTATTTACGATCGCATATAATCAAATTGGTGTCATGTTTGAGTTGTATTTAATTGGATTTTTGTTGTGTTTATCAATTCATAGCACCAATTCACTTGGTCTAAACCTTTTAAAAAATGACTAATGCTACTCGTATCTAACAAATCACAATAACACTATTGTATCACGTCTCTATCACATGATTAAGTTAACAAATCAGTTTAATCGCAGTCTATCAGATGATTAAGTTAACAAATCAATTTAATCACAATAACACTATTGTATCACGTCTCTATCACATGATTAAATTAACAAATCAATTTAATTTGTAATGTTTCAATCACCTTGGCAATATTCACTGGTATTTATTAGGGTGAGAAATCTCCAAGTACATGCAATTATCATAAATTACAACTCTTTAGGGTCTAGAAGTAATATATCACGCAACTATTACATCATTAAGTCAATCTCAAGAGTAACTCAAATGATAACATAAACAAACAATAAATTTAAATATTTTAAATTCAAATTTTGATAATCTTTTAAAATCAAGTAATAAAAAATTTATTTCTCATGAATACCTTAGTCTTAACGTAGATTACCTACATTTGACTAAATCAAAAAAAAAAAAAAGTAATTGAGATACTCATAAACTAATTTAAATACCCTTAACAGTTATAAAAAAATCGAATTACACAAAAACTAGTCCAAACACCATTACAGTCGGAAAAAAAGAATTAAGTTACTCCAACGATTCGAATGCTGTGAAGACCGAGAGAGAATCATTCTTCCAACAAGTGGACATGAATTATGAGCAAACAAAATCCAAGTAATTGAAATTATTCAGAAGAATCTTCCATCATCCCAACCCCAGCTGGAAGAGACCCCATTTCTTTCACATATATCTGTCAAATCCATCCTTCCCAATTCTATCAAAAATCCATGGCGAATAAAACTGTCCAACCTACCATACGTCCCTTCACATTATATATATATATATATATATATATATATATATATATATATTGAGAGAGAGAGCGAGAGAGAGAGAAGAGTGAGCAAAATGGGCATCTTAGCCTGAAGCCGAGACTAAAAAACGACAGCTTCCAACAGTATACATCTAACTGCAATAGTTACAGGTTGATAGATACAATTACAAAGACACAAACGCATATGGTTAATATCGGAGGGTAAGGCCAAGACAAAACAAAAAAACAAATGCAAACACCCTTAATTCACACAAGTTGATCTATAGACACTCCAATATGATAATTAAATTCCTGTGGATTTGATCTCAGTTTCATCCCAAGGTATGTTGAGATCAGCTGATAACATGTCAAGATCATTCCAATTCCAGTAGTTTGGCATGTCCACCATACAGCTTGATGTAGAAATTTGCCATGGCTGAGAAAAAATGTTGGTGCTTGTGGTGGTAGGAAAAGGAGTGGTGGTGTTGGTGGTGGTGGTGGTTGTGGTGGTGATAGTTGAGTCCTCCATAGTTTCAAGCTTTTCAATGTAGTTATATTCATTCAGTGATCGAAAAGAGGAGGGGATTGAAGATGGGTTGGTGTCAAAAGAACTCAAATTTGAGAATGAAAAATGCGGATTTTGATTTTGAGGTGCAGAAATGGTGGAACCAGTAAAGGCTCCATTGCTGCCCATCAAAGTTTTCCCATGAAAGCTGTTGATTTTATCAAGTTGAAATGAAGATTGTGGACGAATCATGGCCTGGTACAGAACATCAGATATGTTTTGTTGCTGGCTATTAACACTCAGAGCATTACCCTTATTAGTGGTGCTGGCAGCCTCGGTGGTGGTGGTGGAATTTGATGTCTTGAGCCGCCTGTTTTTCCGACCACCGCCAACGGGAACGTTGCGAAGAGTGCCACCTTTAGTCCAGTGCCTTTTACAAGCTTTACAGTAATGGCGAGGCTGGGACTTGTTGTAATTGTTGTAGTAACAGAACTTTGTGTTTGTTGATTCACACCTTGGACACTTCAAACGCTCCGGTGGTGGTTGTTGTGGTTGTTGCCGCCTTGTAGGTGGAGGTTTTGGCACCTCGAGAGGGGCCGGCTGCAACAAGGTCTGGCTCCAATCAATCCCATGATCACCAGAAACCTGCTTTGTACTCAAACCCATCTCGAAATTCACATCAAACAAAACAATAAAGTAATACCCGTCCCTGTTACACCGTTACCGTTTTAAAACCCTCGCAACTAACCCTAAAAAAGGATCCTCAATATGATCAAACTAACAAAATGTATCTTGATGTATGAAGAGGAGTTTCAAACTCATCGATGTCAACTAAACAAGAGAGTTGTGTTCGTTGGGAGACTTAACCTAACACTTTTCGGCATGACCTGACGACAGTCAGCACCAGCTGTGTCCGCTTTCCCAAAGGCACCCTCTGAACCTGAACAATATGAATTTCAAATGCTTTCACATGAACAAAGTAAATACAAAAATCATTAAAAAAAAAACTTTAATATGATCACCAACTGGATCTAGCCTTTGGGTCTTAATTGAAGAAGAGAGATGAAACTGGATAGTTTGAGAAGTTGAAGATCCTCTTGCTTGAGAAAAAGGGTTGTGTGGTTGTGTAATAATAAAAGAGATTGGACAGAGTGAAGTGCATTAATGAAGTTCCAAGTTTATGACAAGTGAGCATGTCTGAGATTCTCTCTCTATGTATCTATCTATGATCTCTATATATCTACCTGTCTATCTGTAAAAAAACAATAATTATTATGCTGAAGAAGAAGATCTGTATTAGTTGAGCTCCTGTGGTCCAAGAGGATTCTGATTGATATGTAGTATATGAGGGTGTGTGGGTGTCTGTATAAAACTATATACTTTGGTTTCCTTCCAGTAGTTGCATTGTCTGCCCTCTCCACACATTTTTATGCTTTTATGAGAGAGAGAGAGAGAGAGGGAGACTTCACCCTTAAGGTGAAGGTGGCTGGAAGACAAGTGGACGGATTTAGACCGTTGATAGTGCCTTCTGTGTGTTTGGGTGTCAATCTGATCAAGAGATGACGAAAAATCAACATGGCATACCATATAAAGTTCTTTATTTCCGTAGCGCAGCCCTGTGCCACGAGAGAGAGAGAGAGAGAGAGAGAGAGAGAGAGAGAGAGAGAGATGGAGACAGTGGTCGGTGAGATGTCTGCTTGGCGATGGTGAGCTCCTAGTGGTAAAGGTGACTGAGTGTGATGGTAGAAACAGTTGTCACCACGTTATATCTCGTGGAAGGTCGCCAACTTTTTTCACTGATCAGAGCCCGTAGGTTTTGATTTATACGTTAAATATGAATTTAAAAATTAAATTTGATAATTTTAATTATTGAATAAGTAGGGAGTCTCAATAAATATTAGATTTACAATAAAATTAATAATTATAATTATCAAATTTATTTTTTAAATTCATGTAATATTGCTCTTTGATCGCTATAAGCATATAATGGACTTAATTTGTCTCATATCGTGTGATTCGTGTATATGTATTGATGATGNTAATAAAATTAATAATTATAATTATCAAATTTATTTTTTAAATTCATGTAATATTGCTCTTTGATCGCTATAAGGATATAATGGACTTAATTTGTCTCATATCGTGTGATTCGTGTATATGTATTGATGATGCACAAAAATGATTTTGCACACCACCTGTTAAGTGTAGGTAATAAATGTAGTGAAATCAATAAGAAAATTAAAGAAGACACGATTTATAGTGGTTCGGTCAATTCAACCTACGTCAACTCTTCAATGGCTTCAGTTGCCGGGTATTTTATTAATTCAAAGATATGGAGAATAGAGATACAAGCTTTGAGAGAATGGAGAATCAAAGAAGCAGTGGTCTCCGGTCGTCGATCTGTCTTCTGTAAGTGTTGGTAGGGCGTGCCATTTATAGTAGTCTCTTAACAGATTGAGGCTACTTTATAGCAGCTAAGAGATCATTCTTGTGGAGATCATGACTTATCCTCGAGGCTACTTTATCGCAGCTAAGAGATCATTCTGGTGGAGATCATGACTTATCCTCAACGGAAGGAGGAGGTTGGGGAGCTCTTCATGAAACGCGGTCAAAGATTGGACCGTTTCCTTCGGTGGTGCAGATAAGCTTCTCATGCTCTCCTCTTGATGACGTGCTAAGCAAAAAGTCTAACCGATCTTGGACTGTCTTGGGCTTGGTGGATTCAAAATGAGGTTGGGCTCCTCCACTGGAGTTGGACTTTAACACATAAATTAGACTATTTGAGCTTAACCCATCATTTGCCCCTCAATGCCTCATGTCCAATGAGACTTGGAGAATGAGGCATTGACTATATTATTATTATTATTATTATTATTATTATTATTATTATTTTAAACTTCAAGTCTTTCCCACTTTATTTTGAAGAGGGCCTATAATATTCTATTTGGCCTTTTTATTTTGAAAATGGCCCATAATTTTTTATTTGGGCTTTTTCCCTCTTTTTGAAAAACCTTAGACTATAAATATAGTCTTCTTCTTCATGTTACCCATTTCACTCATTTTTAAGGTTGAGTACCCACCTCTTGAAAACCTTGAGAACTAAAGTCCTGCCCATTTTGTTGAAGCCAAAATTTGTTCTCCTTGAATCCTTTCAAGAGTATGATTTCTTCCTTGCTAGTTGAGCTTCTCAAGTAAACAATGTCGATTGAAGAGGGAGTGGTGGAGATTGAAGAAAGGGAGGAAGTAGGCACCATTTTGGAGAACTTGGAGGCTGATTTTGAGCATTTGAATGTTGTCTTGGACAGCTTTGGGGCTGTAAATTAAGGGATGGACAGCAAAGGGAAGATGGACAACGCGAGGAATGGCTTGGGCAGCGAAGGGAAGCGGCTGGGCGCGCGACTGGGCAGTGCGCGCGCTCGCGGTGAGGGGCTGGGCAGCTGCCTGGGCTCTGCTCCTCCTGTCCTAGACAGCCCAGGCGCGCTGGGCAGCTGCCTGGCTACTGCTTCTGCTGTCCCGGACAGCTCAGCTACGCTGGACAGCTTCAGTTCTACTGCGCTGGGCAGCTTTGGAATGCTGGGCAGCAGCATTTTTCCATCAAGGGGCGCTAAAAATCAGTCCAAGGTTCATCAAGGAGAGCTAGGCAGTGGCCTGGGAGCACGGGCTGATCCGATTCCCACTCGAGGCGCTGATTTGGGCGCCTTAGGTACTGATTTTTGCGCCGAAAATTCTGCTTTGCGCAATTTTAAAGGGCCAGGCACCCTTCAAGCTATTGGACAACTTTGTTTTGACGAGCAACAGCAGTCAGGCACACTTCCAGGCATTGGGCTAGACATTGCAAGTAGTAAGGAAGCTTTGGGTGCTGCTCTTGATGATCAAGCCCCTATTGTAGCTCCCCCGATTCAAGTTCCTCAAGACTCTCCCAATGGTGATTTGGACTACTCCTTAAGGCCCCGGAAGAAGAAACGCAAGAGCAAAGTGGGACTTGATGATGACGGGTCTAAGGTGAGCACCCTTTCTAGTTTATTCCGCTTAGATGGAGATATTTCAAGGCTTGTTTTTACTTATCGCATCCCTCCGACCGTATTGTGCCGTCGGGCTGAGTTGGGCGAGCTTGCTTGCGATGACTCTTCCGGGGATATTGTTGTCTACGAGGAGATGCTTGAGGCTGGGTTAAGATTTCCCATGTCCTCCCCCATTTGTCGTGTTTTGCATTACTTTTCCTTGACTCTAGGGCGACTAGCGTCCAACGGTTGGAGAGTCCTGCTCGGTTTTATTGCATTATGGAGAAAGGTGCACCACGAGGATGTTTCCCCTATGGAGTTTCATGCAGCATATAATTTGAGCGAAACCCCTATACCAAATAGGGGATGGTACTATTTTACCGCACGGAGTAGTACAGTGCTTACAGGAACGCGCTCTAATTGCGGCGGCTGAAAATCTTGTTTCTTCTTTATTGGCAGAGAATGGGCTTCAGAAGTCGACAGAGCTTTGGTGCCAACACATTGGGGTGCTGCTAAAAAACCCGGTATGCTGCACACTTCTTCTTTTTCCTTTTTTTTTTATGCGTGTGTGCTCACTTTTTTCATGCAGATATACCTGTGCTTTCCCGGGACCAGCAGTGAAAATTGGAGGCTGTCAAAGCTTGCCCTTGTAAAGATTTGGGAGTTCTCCTGCCCAAGTATACTAGAGTTGTTGCTCCATCTCAAAAATCTGGCGGCTCTTCTTCGAAAAAAAAGGGTGAGCTAGTTTCCTCTCCTCCTTTTTTTTTATCTAACCCTTCTCTACTCTTGCNGCTCCATCTCAGAAATCTGGCGGCTCCTCTTCGAAGAAAAGGGGTGAGCTAGTTTTCTCTCCTTCTTTTTTTTTTTATCTAACCCTTCTCTACTCTTGCAGCAAGTAAAATGGTGGTGGTGTCCCGCTTTTCTAGCAGGAGCCCTCCTTCTTCCAAAGTGGCAAGGAGGGATGATGCCCCCCATGTGACTCTCACGGTGGCTCCTTCTCAACTGGCAACTTCTCCAGCTGCTACTCCAGAATCTTCCTTGTCAGGCACATCTGTTCCACCTTTATCCTCTCCTCGTGCTACCTCTCCTTTGTCTCCTCCTTGTTCAGGAACTTCTACCCGAGTGCCAATTTGGGCTGGTCCTATGATGGGGAGACAGGCAGCTATTAAGGCAAGGCTTGGCAGGTTTGTGTTTGGGCCAGAAGTTTCTGAGCTTAGCACTTCGGACACTGATAATATCGTCAACACGTATTTGGAAGGTCTGGCTCAGGTAAGGGTCTGTTATTTCCTTTTCTCTAGTCGTTTCCTGTGTTTTTGACTTTTCTTAATCTCTTGTCTTTTTTTTTTAAGGTTTCAACTTCCTCCATCTGCTTGCTTTCGAGGGCCTATAATCAAGACAAACTGAAACTGGATCTTAGCCTTGTGCAGAGGGAGCTCATTACTGCTCAGGAGAGGATTGTCGAACTTGATTCTGAGCTTTTGGTGACCCGCGAGAGGGACGCGCTCAGGGATGGTGAGCTTGCTACAGCCCATGAGAGGGTCATTAAGCTAGAGGCTGAGCTTTTGGCAGTCCGCGAGAGGAGCGCGCTCAGGGATGGTGAGCTTGCTGCAGCCCATGAGAGGGCCACTAAGCTAGAGGCTGAGCTTTTGGCAGTCCACGAGAGGA